TTCAACCGACGGCTTCCAGGGTAGGTCATAGGTATATTATACTCTATGAAGAGCACAAATTATTTTCACATCAGCATCTAGAGCAGCGGTTCTCAACCTGTGGGTCGCGACCCCTTTGGGGGTCGAACAACCCTATCACAGGGGTCGCCTAAGACCATCGGAAAACACATATATAATTACATAGTTTTTGTGATTGATCACTATGCTTTAATTATGTTCAATTTGTAACAATGAAAATACATCCTGCATATCAGATATTTACATTACGATTCATAACAGTAGTAAAATTACAGTTACGAAGTAGCAACGAAAATAATTTTATGGTTGGGGGTCACCACAACATGAGGAACTGTATTAAAGTCGCGGCATGAGGAAGGTTGAGAACCACTGATTTAGAGACACTGATAGCTTGAGGTGCTTTTCTTAGTCAAATGAAATTTTAGCCAACCTAATATATTTGTGTCCTCTAGGTTTTTGGAAATGGGTAACCATTTGTGGCATATATGGGGAACTCTTTACCTAAATTTTTTAATAACTAATTATGTAATTATAGTAACATAATAATTATAACTATAATTAACTTCCTGCAGAAACTAATTATGTTGAACAGAAACTTTTAGTATTGTGTTAGCAAACTTTTTCCAGGTATAAGGGGGAAAAGCCAGCCTATACCTTTTGGGGAAGGAAAAGGTATAGGCTGCCTTTTTTTTTAAGTCAGTTCCTAAAAAATCACTGCACTATGCAGAGTCCAATAAACAGCAGAGCACTTAAACGGGGACAAGCCAGGGTTTGGGCCCAACACTGAAAAATGATCGGTAATGCATTAAAAACAAAAACAAAACAATAGTGTTTTACATGTTACATGTTGAAGCAATGGATTAGCACTACAAATAAATATGACACTTTACCTTGACGTTTGCTCTGGACGTGGACATCAGGACTGCAGCTTGTGACAGACTGAGATTTGGTGGAAGGAGGGTTGTCTGAAATTAGAAAGTTGTACCACCAGATGTAGATGGGTGTGTCTCAGTACCACCATGAGGATTAAGGTGGTGCAGTTTTCTGCATGAAGTTTTTCTTGCAGACAAAATCGCTCCTTAAGCAAATGCAAAATTCTTATGTTCAAATTGTTCTCTACATATTAATCATGTTGGAACAAATTTGCATTTTTCAAAGCAACTGTTACAGTTGAACTATATCAGAGATTCTTCAAATTAAAGCTTTCTAAAGCCAATGGAGCATAGGATTTCAGAAACAAATTCTAAGACGTTAAAAATTTGGCACATCTGTTGGTTATCATATGACTTGATCCATCATCTCATCCTCCCAGAGGGGAAAGGAAAGCAATTTAGTTCATTTACATTGAGCTCCACGACGAATGGTTAAATATTCTAAAGCGTACAAACTCTAGAAATTGTATAGTCATGGGAAATTGCTCTTCATCCCTGGTGAGTGGAACTTTTGAAGAACGACACAGGACATATTGGTACACCGCAGTGCTTTCTGAGCTGGGAGCCTACGCTTGGTTCTAAGTATTCCATTTAGACCTTTCCAACCAGTAGCAGTTTACCAAGATTTTAAAGTGAGATACTTACTCCTCCTCATGACTAGTGTTCCTGGTGTTTTCTGTGGGCTCAGTGGGTAGGAGCCACTACTGGCAACTGAACTTTGGGGAGAAAGGTTTATTTAAAAGGTAAACAGGATGACCACAAACAGAGTCAACCTCAAAATGTTTGCTTCTTTAAAAATCTCAGTTCTTCTCAAGTTATCTGAGTATTGCCTGACCGGTGTGGCTCAGTGGTTGATCGTTGACCTGTGAACTAGGTCACGGTTCGATTCCCAATCGGCAAATGCCCGAGTTTCAGGCTTGATTCCAAGATGGGGGTATGGTATGCAGGAGACGACCTATCAATGATTCGCTCATCATTTTTAAATATACTTTTTATTGATTTCAGAGAGGGAGAGATAGAAACATCGATAAGAATCATTGATCGGCTGCCTCCTGCATGTCCCGCATTGGGGATCAAGCCTGCAACCCAGGCATGTGCCCTTGACTGGAATCGAACTCGGGACCCTTCGGTCTGTAGGCCAAAGCTCTATCCACGAGCCAACCAGCTAGGGCAATACTTACTAAGTAAGTTTTAGAAGCAGAAGATGGTGGTTCATTAACCAGATTACACTGATTTTAATTGAGGTCTTTTTCGTCTATACATGTTGATAAACCACTCTTGAATATGAGAATATTTACTAGAGTATTTAAATATTAGTGACTAGGGACTTTTAAACTCTGTAGCCCACCAAACTCCCTTTGACCCAAGAAAAATTCCTCACTGCCCACTAGATGGCACTGTTCATCATCCGTGACTCTTAAAAGGACATGAGTCCATCTGGGACAAGAGACCAATCTGAAGAAACCTTTTTTAAACAGCCATGCCACTTTACTCCCACAGAGGTCTCCAAAACACTGAGATTATGACAAAAATACGATAAAGGTCACTTTGATCTTTACATATAAAGCCTACCGGTCTAAAATGATTCAATAACTAGCTATTATTACAATTCATGTCTTGACCCTTCAAATAAGTTATAAATACCCGATGGCAGACTGCCTCACACCAGTATTCATCTTTGAAAACAAAACTTGAATCTCAACTCCCCACAAATGAAAAGGGATTATCATCCTAGCCAGTTTGTCTTCCTGGATAGAGCATCAGCCTGAGGACTGAAGGACCCAGTTCGGGGTTGGTTCTGGTCAAGGGCACGTACCTTGATCAATTGGTTGCCTCCCCTAAGATGCATGCCCGAGGCAACCAATTGATGTCTCTCACATCAACAGGTATTTCTCTCTCTCTCTTTCTCTCTCTCTCCCCTACACCCCTTCCTTTCTATTCTCTAAAAAAAAGAAGTCAAATGGGAAAATATCCTGGGGTAAGGATTAACAAAAAGAAAAGGGACACCACAGAAAATGCACATTATGCCTCTTACAGCTGAGTGTGAGGATGAACTCAACTTCCCCAAATGATCGGTAGCTGAGGTGCAGTGGTATAATGTGTGCCTGAGGAGAAACTTGAGTGACCAGTTCCCTTGGCCACAGTAGGAAAACTAGACAATTCAGCTCCAGTGTAGCCCAGTAAAAACAGCACGGGACTGCCAGTCAGACACCTTCCTCTTGGACTGCCAGTCAGACACCCTCCTCTTGGCTCTGCTCTCAGTCTGGTATAAAACTTCACATAACATAACTCTCTGAGACTCAAATTTGTTTCTTTGTAAAACAATAGGTCTTAAAGGCCCTAAAAATTATGACATCCAAAATACATTAAAACAAAAAAGTACCTAGGAAGTGTTAAAAGCAGAAAGATAAGGTATTTAACATTTTGAACTGATTCACCTAGAGACAAAATATTTTATTTCAATAACCTTGATAAAATGTGAACAATGGCTTTGAAGAGACTATTTCGAAAATACCTTCTTCTGATTTCCTTTTCTCTTAAGCATGGTTTCAAGGAAGTATGGATTACTGTGGTCACCACAGCGGCACAGCTCAGATTCTTACATACCACTTACTTTCTGAAAGCAGTGTTTTATTGTCATTCTGTGAAAAGCGGAAAATAAGAACTCAGGACTAGGCTTCCTAAACTTCTTTAATGCCCAGCTAGTTATCTGGGTTCAGTGGCAAGAGGCCACCCCTCAGTAAGGAAAGACAAGACCTGCTAAACTTCCTATGCATGTATAATGCATTCCTTTCTGGAAGCAAGCTATTCTCAAATCCCTTTCAGTGCCTTAAACTAGAGAGAGAAGACACAAGAACACCTAAAAACCCCAAATCAGAGATGGGCCACAAGCCCAGAGGCTAAGCCCTACAATTGAGTAAAACAGGTGTTTTTTTGTTTTAAGAATCTACTCTACAGAAGACCCTGTGCTAGGATGTTACAAAGGATGCCATGTCATGTTGGTCAAAAGGCACATACATTCTATCAAGACGCAAACACGAAACTTAAAAACCAGATATAACAAGAGTACTAAATAGTGGGAAAAAGAACTTCCAAGACAATGAAAAAGATTAGTTCACTTAACGTGCAGCTGTTAGTGGAAATGCACAGAGCAAGGTCCTGCAAAATGCACATCACTGCCAACAGTCATGGGAGGGCAGGGTAGGGGAGGAAGAGGGTAGTGGCAGAAAAGGAATGTGATTTGAAAGTATTCGTGTCAGCCCTAATAAATCTCCTTTTTAAATGAGAAGTGGCTAGGCTAATAGTTTGTTTTTGGCACAAACTTGTTAAATCTGAAATTTTATAAGGAAGACTAGGCAAGCAAAATATTCAACAACACTGAGGTGGACAAATTAATATAACTTTTAACAGAGTGGAACTCTTTTAAGAAGTTAGTTTACTTTTGGTTTCATCTGTAGCAAGACAACACAAGAAAAAAACATGACCTCTGAATGGTCACTCCATGTCATCCTACTTCTGCTAGCTTCACCACTAAACATGTAAGCCAGCCCCTACCCCTCAGCCCCACTGTCCCTGGTTTCCTCAGGGGAGGCAGTTTGCTATTCCTCCTCATTTCTGTCACTCCCTCAATTCCACACAATAAACCAAGTCTATGCTTTAAACAAACTCAGTGCTTACACTCAAATGTGTTTCCCTTCTATGCTCCTCTTGGCCTTCTCACCCCGGAGCACCTGGACTCTGCAGAAGACAAGGCCCAGCGAGCGCTTCCCCACCACCACGCTCCCTCCAGCTGGTGGTAGGTGCCCAGGAGTGGCAGCTCCACCTGAGCATTGTTCATGTGTGCTAGGACAAGGAAAGGTTGGGAACACATTTAGGACTCAGGAACTTCCTTGTTCTTGCTCCCTAGAGAGGAACCGCACTACAAAACACTGAAGGAAATTTGTAATATACCAAAGTAATCCTTTGATAGAATCTCTTCAAAATCATATTCAATATTTACAACATAGAAACCATATAAAACTTGCTTTTCAAGTACCAACCACGTTCACCAAAGGTATAAAACACAAGTACTTTATTGATTTCTTACAATCAAATACTGCCAACTAGCATTACTTCCACTCGTGCATCATTAAAAACAAAAGGATTATTTCCTTGGTATTTTCAAATGATGCATTATACAATAAACAAAAAAAATTAGAACTTAAAATGCACCCTGATTAATTATGTAAACTGGTAATTTTTTTTAAAAAGCGTAACTAATAATTTGGTTCTTCATAAAATGGAAATTTAAATATTTCTCCTGATAGTCTTGAGGTTATCATTATGTTATGAGTAGTGCAAAGTGTGGCACACAGAGTTTCATCTAGAAAGGTGTCTCACACACCTTATTAAACAAATGAAATGTGCATAACAAAATGCATACAGTCAATGCATGATAGAAAGCATGTTTCAAATACAAGGCAGCCTCCCAGGCCACCGTATTATTTGTTTTGCATTATCATTTATGGCATTATAGATTAATTACACATAACATACTTTTATACATTTTAACCCTGAAGATAAGAAAAATAATTGTTGCTTGAAAAAATTATTCCAGGTAGCCATTTGGTTTGTATTAGGAGGAAGTGAACCTCCGAGGGTTAGTGTCTGCCCAGTCTGGAGTCATCAGCTTGAGTCAGAAGTCGGACACTCGGCGTATTTCACAGTGGCCGCTTCCCGAGTCCTGCGCTGCCTCCTCTCCCGGTGCCAGGTAATGAAGCGTTTCCAGGATTACCCTTGTATGTGCTTTTCCCTTTTTTGTTTCTTCTGGATTAACTGTATTATTTCCTCTTCTCACCTCTTCTATGGCCTTCCACTTTAATTATTCATAAGTCCTTTCAGAATATCCTCAGAGAGTTCCATAAGGGGTAGTTCTGGAGATGGAAAATCCAAGGGGGGAAGATTGGGTATTGGAATATCCTTGGCTTTCCCAGTACTTGCTGCAAATTTCTGCCAGGTTGAAGAGGCTGTAGCAGTTTCTGACTGTGGCGGCAAGCTCCATAACTCTGACTTTTCAACAAAATCAGCATCTACATCCAGCTCTTTTTCTACTGGGCCTTTTAGAAGTCTGGCCTTTTCAGCCTTGAGTTGTTTATTTTCTTTCCTTAATTTTTCATTCTCAGCCATAAGGTATTCCACATGCCTCTTCAAATCTGCAATTTTGGTTGCCTGCTCTTCTATAATGGTTTTATCATCTTTTGGGGCTTTGCTTCCAATGCATGGTTCTGTTGGCTCACTCTTTTGCTGAAGTAAAAATAGCAGTGTGTCTGGATCCCTATCAAAGACCCTCTGAATTTCAGGCAGGTGTTTCTCTGTGGAAGGGCTGTAGTTCTGAGAGAGAAGGAGACTGTGGCCTTCTGCCTCCTCAGCAGAGGGCTTGTGAGACGCCTGAAGCTGGGCAGCGGCATCCTTGTCTGTGCTCTGCTGGGCTTTCAACCTTTCCTCCCGCTTCGCCCTCTTCCACCTCTCCTGAATGAGGAGGAGCTGTTTCATGTGGCTATCCCTTTGCAGTTCCAGTGATAAATGAGCCTGTTACACAGAAAGAAAGGAACAATTTTACATTATGAGTCTCTTTAGTAATGTCCAGCAAATACTATTCCAAGACCTTCCTTTCTGAATAGCCCGATAACACTTAAAATCTATATACTATGTCTATGATTCAATTAAACCTCAAATGTTTTTCCAAATAACTAGTTATTTCTAGGTAAATTAACACTTATGCTAACTTATGAATATAAACAGAACACCATTCACTCAGCAAGTCAGAAGTACTATTCCAAATCCACATACTGAATCAGACCTTTTTTAACTGTGCCTTAACTCTCTGCAATGCCACTGATACTCGGCTTAAAAACAGAAAATCTTCCTCTTTAGACATCAATTCCATAACTAGCTAAAAAGTCTTTTCACTGACAGGGTGTTCAGAAGGTTCAGTGCACATCTATATTACAGGACTAACATGAGCAGTTCTATAATCAAAGGGAAGTGTGTGTGATAGAACACAACTTCTCAGTTCTCTTGGTTCAGTTTGAGGAAATCTGTGTTTTTTCTTTGCCACTGGTATCTCCTCACAGAAAGGATCTCCTTAATTCAATTAAACATTTACCAATCACCTCCTATGTACCTACCACTTGTATAATCAGGAAATCATCTGTGGATAAAGGTAATTTAAAAACCTAGGGAAGCCTTCCCCAAACACAGAAAACAATTTAAAGCCATTGGTGAGACCAAGTTAAAAAGTACCAGAACCAGCCCTAGCCGGTTTGGCTCCATGGGTAGAACAGCCTGTGGTTTCAGGCTCCTCCCCAGCACGGGCCCTCATCAGGGCTCGTGTAGGAGGCAACCAATCAATGTGCTTCTCTCACATTAATGTTTCTCTCTGTCTTTTCCTCTCTCTTCCACTCTCCCTAAAAATCAATGGGAAAATATCCTTGGGTGAGAATTAACCAAAAAGAAAAAAAACTACAATGAGATACCACTTCACACCTGTACCAAGTGTTGGAGAGGTTGTAGAGAAAAAGAAACCCTCATTCACTGCTGGTAGGAATGTAAACTGGTACAACCACTATGGAAAACTGTATGTTGGGTCCTCAAAATATTAAGAATAGAGTTACCATATGACCCAGCAATCTCTTTTCTGGGTTTCTACCTGAAAAACTTAAAAACAAACAAACACCTGGCCTGTTCCTCAATGGTTAGAGCCTGCAGACCAAAGGGTCACAGGTTTGATTGCAGGTTTGATCCCCGGCCCCATTCGGGATGTGAGCAGGAGACAACCAATCTATATATCTCTCTCACATCAATATTTCTCTCTCCTTGTCCCCTCCCTCCCTTTCACTCTAAAAAACTCAATGGGAAAAATATCCTCAAGTAAGGATTAAAAACAAATACCAGAACTGCTTAGGAATTTGGGGAAAGATAAGTTTAGATTTAAATTATCTTTGAGAAGCAAAGGGAAGGCCAACAGGTCCCCTTGCCCAGGCCAGCTTACTTACTGTGAGCTCCTGGTCAAATGAGCTAATGATCAGGAAAGGCCCTACGAGGCACCTCTAGGACACATGTGGCACTCTGAGATCTGTAAGTAACCACTAGGAAAAAAGGATAGGAGTTTCTGCATACCATGTCTGGTGTGTCTGGTCATCAACAGCAGTTCATTTAGTTATCATTTCCTTTCTAAAATACTTTTCTTTTGCCCATTTTATATACAGGGTGAGGCAAAAGTGGGTTTACAGTTGAGAGTATACGAAAAAGTTTATTCTTGCATTTTTATTAATTATTGTATTATTTTTCATATGAACAACTGCAAACCTACTTTCGCCCCATAGTGTATTTTGACTATAGTGTTTTGAGAGGGGCCCAATGCTTGGTTTTATACACAAGTCAACACTTCACAAGAAAATCCTTCTAACCCTTGTTGTAAATATTAAGAAAATGTCTCACCTGTTCAGACTGTGTTAGCTTCATGGCTTCAGAAAGATATGCTGGTTTAAAAAAAAAGAGGCACATTAATATGAGTGTTGTCATTTTGTAAGTAACAGGGCAAAGGAAGAGTTTTAATACTCCTCATGTGACAGAGAGAAATGATCTTAGAAGCAACTCTGCTATTATATAGTTATCCTGTTCCTGAAAAGAAACAAGATGAGAATTTAAAAATATGTCAGTGGGAATCAAATGTAGCCATTCCCTACCCCATCTTGAAGGAGTTTGTTCTTTTTTAAATTAATCTGAGAGACAGGGAGAGAGAGAGAAAGGAATATCGATGTGAGAGAGAAACATCAATCGGTTGCCTCCCATACGTGCCCAACTGGGATCGAACTCACAACCCTGGATATATGCCCTGACTGGGAATCAAACCTGCAACAGTGCAGGACAATGTTCTAACCAACTGAGCCACACCAGCCAGGATTGAAGAGTTTGTTGTTTAAAACCCCTGTAGATTTCACAATTAAGGAAGTAAAGATGGCCCAATCAGGAAATAGAATTGAGGATGAAAATTTAACAAGAACCCGTCAAAACCCTATTACTCATGCTCACAAAAATATAAAGATACTAGAGGTCCGGTGCACAACATTCATGCACTGGGGGGTGTGGGGGTCCCTCAGCCTGACCTGCACCCTCTCCAATCCAGGAGTTTCTGTCTGTCTTTGCAGTCATATGAGCAAATTGTCTGAGACCCCCAACCCAGTTTGGTTTGTTGCTCACAGAATAATAGAGGCATTTTTTTTCTTTGCTTCACTGGTGGAGATTTCCTGGAAGTTTTAGGATATCTTCCCTTTAATTTTCCCTAGACACTCTGATTTTACTTATGTCTCTCACCTTTGCTTTCCCTCCATCCCCCACCGCAACAGTAACTTGCTCCAGGCTCACTTTGCTCTAGTGTCTAGGAGATCCGTCTGCCACCAGAACTACGATTCCCAGTATTTCTGGTGCTCCCCGCTCTCTGGGCTTCTGCTTCCGGTCCTGGGGCTGCCATCAGAACTACTATTCCCAGAATTCCTGGTGCTCCCATGCTCTTGGTTTTCCCTTCCTGCTCTGTCTCCTGCCCATGGCCTCCCACTCTGCCAAGTCTTCCAAGCCGCCAGCTCTCCCTTTCTGCTCTCTGTCTGGCGGCTTGGGGAGCCAAGTTCCCCAAGCAGCTCCACTCTCTGCTGGCTCTCCACTCTGCTCTCCGCCTGGAGGCTTGCAGGGGGGCATGGCTCCCTTGGTCACTGGGAGCGACCAAAGGAGCCATGTCCCCCCAAGCTGCCGCCTCTCCTGCTCTGCTCTCTGCCCGGCGCGTGTGTATGCAAATTAAACCACCATCTTTGTCGGGTTAATTTGCATTGATTGGCTGGTGAGCATAGCAGAGGGACGGTCAATTTACATGTTTCTCTTTTATTATATAGGATGATTGTCAATGACTTTTTTACTGACATAAACATCTGGACTATCATTTGGGCCTCCTAAAGAACTTATGACTTGTTTCTGAGCTATGCCAACAGACTGCTAGGAATTCCGGAGTTAAAACCCTTGTTGACATTTATTGTAAGCAAGTTGTCAAACATATTGTGTCATTGACAAAGACTATAAATGGGCAATAACTTAATAAACTTCTCTTTGATCTTAAAATAGTCAGTGTAAAAATCCATAATGTTCCTCTTTGACCTGACTGCAAGTTTAAAGCCAAATTCTATCAAATATGCAAGAACCCACAGTGCTTTTTTTTGTAATCCTCACCTGAGGATATTTTTCCCATTGATTTTTAGAGAGTAGAAGAGAGGGAGGTTTTCTCACCTACTTATGTTTAATTACCTATTATATTTTGGTATAAGGCCTTCTATATCCTGTCTGGACCAAGATGAAGTATTAATATTAATAATAACAGATCAGCTCTAGCTGGTTTGGCTCAGTGGATAGAGCATTGGCCTACAGACTGAAGGGTTCCGGGTTCGATTCAGGTCAAGGGCGCATGCCTGGATTGCAGGCTTGATCCCCAGTAGGGAGCATGCAGGAGGCAGCCGATCAATGATTCTCATTGATCTCTCTCTCTCCCTCACTGAATTCAATAAAAATATATTTTTACAAAATTAATAGGTCATACTCAATCTCCATCTTTTATTTCTTGCTTACTATAAACTTTTCACCATCTCTCACCTCTACATTAAGTTTCTCTTTTGCCTTTTTTCAGATATTACTGTGGTAGACAGTTAGACAAACATGAGCAGAGCAAGGACAATGGGCCAGTTACAGAAGATCACCAGGACAGAACTGCTAGACACCTAGCAATGGAATAAAACTGGTAGAGCAGATATTGGAGGTAAGTACTGTTAATAAAGACCTCGCCCCTAAGACACCCTACACCCTCAACACCCTAGAAAGCCTCTGATCACGCAGGTCAGATTCTCCTGACCTTTTCTTCCCTGTCATGTGGTAGGCCCCCACCCTTAGAGAATAAGGAGGCTGGAGGAAAGCCCCATCTAACTCCATACAAGGACAGAAGACGGCAGGACAGACCCCACAGATTAGCTTGAATATGAAAGCAGTTAACCCCTCCGTGGAGTTAAAAGGAGCCCTGGCCCACTCGCTCAGCTGCCCACTGGAAATTTCTTTTCTGAGTTTCCTTTCTCTTTGCTTGCCTAATAAATCTTCTCCAACAAGTTTGAGTCTTGGCTCTGAGTTCTTTTCCTAGCCAGAACTCAAGTACCAAGGTTGCTGAACCCAGGTACAGTCTGACCCCATCAGTCAGACACCTGGTGCCATTCCCACCGCCTACAACACTACAAGGTACTGCTTTCTGTCTGGTGTTAATCCAAATATGCTAATGATTTTCAGAGTCCATGACTTAGAACTGCTGTCTGCCAGGTTCTGCCACAGTATTTAAGACACCTTTTAACTGGATTCCCCCACCCCAACAGAAAGTGTATCAGTGAGACGGAAGAGACCTCAGTGGTTCTTAGCTTCTGAAGTAAGAAGCTAGGAAAATTCCAGGACACGTGGGAATAGGGAAACTAAGTCAAATAGTTAAATAGCAGTGTGCAGCCACCTAGTGAACCCTATCATCCCTAAACCAAAAATACAGAAGAGTAAATGGCTGGCACTTTAAAGGTAAATAGCTTAATTCACCCTACTCAGGGAGACACATAACAGAAATCCAATTAGTGTCATTTGCCAACCACACCCAAGGATAGACAAATTAAGCGAATAAATCTCATTTCAGTATATCAGCATAAAGCTGATGAATATTCTATTAATCCTCTCCTAAGACCTCCTCTAAATGCCCAGCTTTAAAAACCCTGAGAATGAAGGTCCCCGTCACTCTTGCTCCAGAGAGCATGCCCATACCATTCCCTTCCTTCCCGTCTTCCCTCACAGGCATCTACCTCCTAAACGCCAAGGGACCCCACAAGACTTGCAACCAGGGGAGAAATGGGGCAGCAGCAACTCATCCCAGGCTAACCCCCTGAATTTGTCTCCAAGGTCCCCTTTCTCTGACTTCCCGGTGAGCCAAAACAGCCCAGCCTAGGCTCTCCTGAGGCTTCTTCTCTGCTCTTCCTTGTTTCACTGCCCTAAATGTGTTTTTGCTATGGTCAACAAATGCTTGCTTGCTTTTGCTTTTCTATACTGTCTCTCGATTGAAATCTTTCCTTTGAGAAAACAAGATCCAAAGTCTCATGGTCTTGCTGGTAACAAAAGCACAGAATTGGTTATACAGTTTTTGCTCCAGACATACTTACCTTTTTCCTCCATTTTTTTCTTTTATTCCTATGTTAAATGTGTATGGGTGCACAAAGACTATTTCTTTTCCTTCTGTTCATGTTTAACTCAGTTGAGACATTCTATCTATTGCTCTGATGGTGTGGATGAATTTTCCTAGACATCCCTCCCATTATGTCTGCATATATTTGTCTCCTTGTCTGAACTACAGTTTGCTTTAAATCTGCTTTCTTAACAAATGGAACGATTTGGCGAAACCAAACTTAACTGGAATGCCTCCCTTTGAACCTTAAAACTGTAACATGAGAGAAAAGGATACCCAAGGACACTGAGCTGCCAAAGCACAAAGAATTCAACAGCAGTCACACTGTCATTTAAAGCAGCGGTAGTGAGGTCTGAAAGGTCGGTGACCGCTGACTTAAAGTATTTCCCAGATTTTAAATCTGGGCCTTAAAAAATAGTTATTTTAGCACTAGCTGGTTTGGCTCAGTAGATAGAATGTCAGCCTGCGGACTGAAGAGTCCTAGATTCAATTCCAGTCAAGGGCACATGCCCAGGTTTTGAGCCTGATCCTTAGTAGAGGGCGTGTAGGAGGCAGCTTATCAATGATTCTCTCATCACTGATGTTTCTAACTCTCTCTCCCTTCCTCTCTGAAATCAATTAAAATATATTTTATTAAAAAAATTTATTTTAAAAGGAAAAATTTTTAATCTGATTGCATGGTCATGGATTTACTCAGAGTCACAAAAGGAACAAATGCTCCAGCTCCACCAAGGCAGAAATTTAAGAAACATTTACTCACAAAAATCTAACAAATCTGGTTAAAATGCTTCCTTCAATTACAACACTAGGCTAATATTTAAAGTAAATATTAAACAAATGATGGGGGACAGGAACTAAGAATATCTGAAGAATCTATTAATTCTTAAAATAACATATTTTACTATTCTATCATGAATCTGGTACCAAAGTACAAATTGTACAACTTATCTGGGGCACACAGAGCAAAATATTACCTCTTAATGACAAAGATTAATCTACTCTGAGTCATTTTCATGTCACCACAGTCTAATGGGAAGGTAGGTCAAGACTTGTTTTCCGGCAAAGGTCAACCCCTTCCTTTAAATTAGCCAATCACGAAAGACTGAGCATAAGCTCCAAGAGTAAGTAAGGGACAGGTCAGGTGCATCAGGAATAAAAAGCCAAGAATAAAAAGTCAAGCGGACTGCTCGCTCAGTGTGCGTGTGCTCCCAGACCATGTGCATGTGCACCCTCCTGCAGGAGTAAAGATATGTGCCTTGCCAAAAAAAAGAAAGAAAAAAGACTTGTTTTCAACCAAATACACAGAAACACTGCACTCTGAGGTATGCTCATCTCAAATGTTCATTTTATGAGTTCTAAGCATTATCAATGGATATTATCAACTTCCCATTTAAGCTTTTGCTCTTTTTGCTGTCTGTGAAAGAAATGAAATTCACTTAGGGAACTGGACTGCAGAAAGCTAATAAAGGAGAATTACACCAATCCAGTTACAGCTGTTAATCAAGGGTTTAAAGCAGTGGTTCTCAACCTGTGGGTCATGACCCCTTTGGCGGTCGAACGACCCTTTCACAGGGGTCGCCTAAGACCATCCTGCATATCAGATATTTACGATTCATAACAGTAGCAACATTACACTTATGAAGTAGCAACGAAAATAATTTTATGGTTGGGTCACAACATGAGGAACTGTATTTAAAGGGCCAGAAGGTTGAGAACCACTGGTTCAAGGCAATAGATTTTTCTAACAAGAGTTTGTGGCCTCTTAAGCTTTCCTTTTTTCATATTAGATGGTAAAATGTGAACAACTTCTCTCCACCTCCGGCCACGTTTAGACAGCTTTTTTTCTTCCTGAGATTTGGTATCTCAGTTTATCTGTCCAATGAATGCTCATATACTCATTTCATCTAATTCAGTTACTGTCCACCTCAAGAGTAGATCATACCTTTCTCAAAAAGGAAAGAGAAATCAAGTTACCGCTTTATTTCAACACATTTACAAAACAAACACTATCAAAACTCTATATAGTATACAGGCTCTGAGTCCTTAGCTATGCAATCTCAAGGTAAATTTTTAGTCTCAGAATCTCCTCTGATCTTTGACAGCTGAACAGAGTCCCCTTCTTTTGCCCTAAGTTCTCTCAGTTCAGGCTTTCCTTCCTCTTGAGTCTTTTTCAGATGAACCTTTCCCTGTCATATCTTTAAGATGATTTCCAAATGTTAAATTCCCTCCTCTCAAAATACATCTACATCCACACCTCCCAAAACACTGCTGTTACAAGCCCTAAATGTCAGTCAATTTACAAAACACTGAGGTCATTCCAACCATGTCAGTTTTCAAACTAGTATTACACTGACAACTCCACTCAGAAATGCAACACAAGGCTATTTTTTAATATCTATTTTTATTGTTGATAGTATTACAGATGTCTCCTGTTTACCCCCCCTTGACCTCCCTCCTCCCACCCCCTCACCCCAGGTCTTCACCATCCTATTGCCTGTGTCCATGGGCTATGCATATAAGTATATAAGTTACAAGGCTATTTTTAACCAAGTTTAAACTCCCAAATTGGATCATAAGTTCTATCTCCATAATTAAAGTTAATGGGATCCAACAGGCTGCCTTTATCTTTCTACTCCTGAGAATGTCACAGAATTTAGATACAGACAAAGGGGGAAGAGGTGTTTAAAGCCCAACATTAGTTTTAAGTCTTCTAATAAAGACACGGATATAGGTTAGGAATGAAAAATACTTTTCTCCCTTTTATATACATTTTATTCAGAATGTCCTACTGCTCAACACCTAACATATACTAATCACTCCATCTTAATATGTCACAGATGTGTAACCATGACCACCCTGGGTTATTTTACTAAAGGTGTCATTTCACTGTGGCATTCATCTACAACATGGTTTTCTTAAATAGTATATAATACATTATCTTTTCTTTATAGTGACTACAAAGTTAACAATTTGATTCATAACAAAATCCTATATATTAAAAGCGTAATACACAAATTGTCCCCTCGACCGGGAGTTAGACCAGGAGTTCGACTCAGGGGCTGGAGCTGGCTGGCCAACTGCGGGAAGGGAGGCCCTGATCAGTGGCAGGCAGCCAGGGAAAGGGAGGGGTCGGCCGGCAACCAGCAGCCGCTAGGGACCCTACCCGTGCACAAATTTTGTGCACTGGGCCTCTAGTAGGGTTTATTAAAGACTTAAAGAGAACTAGCTACCAAGTTTAATGTTGTATTAAGCCCCCATAAAACTCACCATAAAAATTCACAAAGATTTATGGGGTACAATATACTCAGCTGTATAGCTGAAGTGGTACACTTCAGTAGCAAAACTAATTCTTTAAAAGAAAAATGAGTTGAAATTTTCTCTGAAAATCACTGATTCACAGGCAAAAATCACTGACATAAGAGGACTTATCCAAACCAGTGTCCACGATGTGGTGTGTTTTTCAGCAGTAAGGTAACACAGGAGAGGCAGACTCTACCAGGAAAGAACATGGCTCTGATTATCACACTGGCCTAGAGGAAACGGAGATTAACTTCCTCTAGCAGAGAGGTGATAAGGTTTGCTCTAAGAAAGGTAGCTATACCATTTTGGATGAAGCATGAGTAAAACAGCCCTTTCCCCAAAGCTTTTACATATGCTATTCATCCAACAAAAACACACCCCAAAGATCTATTTCTGAGTTCAACATATGCTAGGTTGTATGCCTGATTGGGATAAAATTAAGTGTTTGATAAGAAGCCAGTTACTCTATAAATTTTATACCTTAAAAAAAAGCTATCACTAGCACAATATTACAAGCATGAATATATAGATGAAATATTCAGAAGAGAAGCTAAAGAAAAACCACAGGAAAGAGTTTGATGCATCTTGCATTATCAAGATTTTAGAAAACAGAAACTCAGTGCAAATTAATTGGTTGGAGTCAAACTAATTATTACTTTCAGAACCCAAAATAGCTAACTTTGAAATCCAGACTCCTTTTCTATAATATAACCAAGATATACTGGCAGACATCTGGCCATCACTTCTGTCTTTAGGGATCGTTGGGCTCAGAAAGCCGTGTCCAGGAATCATTTACCAATATGGAATGTATAATTTTCATGGTTTAGAAAGAAGTCTGGCCTGACCGGCATGGCTCAGTGGTTGAGCATCAACCTATGAACCAGGAGGTCACGATTCGATTCCTGGTCAGGGCACATGCCCAGGTTGTGGGCTCGATCCCCAGTAGGAGGCAGTTGATCAGTGATTCTCTCTCATCATTGATGTTTCTCTCTCTCCCTCTCCCTTCCTCTCTGAAATCAACCTACACTAATAAAAGAGAAACATGCAAATTGTGTCACTCCACTACACCCACCAGCCAATCAGAGTGACTATGCAAATTAATCCAACAAAGATGGTGGTTAATTTGCATATGCAGGCACGGAGCAAAGACTGAAGGCTCTGGCCGGAGTGAAGTCTGAAGACTGAAGAGGCTTGCTGCGGCCAGACCAAAGGCCTGGGTCCCGGGTGCCAGAAGAAACCCGTTGCCAGCAGCCAGGGGAAGGAAGGCCTATTGCGCGAATCTTTGTGCGGGGGGGGGGGGGGGGGGGGGGGGGAGGGGAGGAAAAGAAAGGAAGGGGGAGGGGAGGAGAGGAGGGGAGGGGAGGGGAGGGGAGGGGAGGGGAGGGGAGGGGAGGGGAGGGGAGGGGAGGGAGGGGAGGGGAGGGAGGGAGGGGAGGGAGGAGAGGAGGGAGGGAGAAGGAAGGAAAGAAGTAAGTCTGGGTTGGGAGGAGCTGGGAAATCCAACACACTCAAAAATAATGCAAACTGCCCTAGCTGGTTTGGCTCAGTGGATAGAGCATCGGCCTGTGGACTGAAAGGTCCCGGGTTCGATTCCAGTCAAGGGCACATACCTGTGTTGCAGGCTTGATCCCCGCTAAAGGGCATGCAGGAGGCAGCTGATAAATGAGTCTCTCTCATCATTGATGTTTCTATCTCTCTCTCCTTCTCCCTTCCTCTCTGAAATCAATAAAAAATATATTTAAAAAAAATAATGCAAGCTGATGTTCCAGGGGGTCAGTGGGGTCACAGCACATCATTACTATTATTTTCATTCCAAATAAAGTGTTGAGAAATACTGGAGGGAAGAACTGCCCTACAGTTTTACACTCAGTACTTCTTAAAGAGAATACTCACCTGTAGCCTTTTTGTGACAAGATATAGCCTCCTCGTATTTCCCCGCAGCTAATAAACGATCTGCACGTCTGCTCTGTTGATGAGCCTAGAAGACAAACATTTCTAATTGCTTCTTTTCTGTAACTCATTCTTCCCTCTCAACCTTAAAGTTACTATTTGTTTTTAAACTATAAAATGTGTGCATCGTACAGTTGAGTAATTACAATACCTATATTTAATATTATGATGGAGATTTTTCACCAAAACAACAAAGACAAACTCAAAAGTTCTGAAAGCAAATGACTAAAGTGTCCCCAGATGAAAGGTAAATGCATTAAATGAGTAGTCACTGGGCTCTTTACCTCTGTTACATTTTAAAATTTACCACAACTTTGTAAATGTGTTTCCTTCTCTTTAAGAGGTCCAACAGATCCAGATGGGTATATCTTACATAAAGTTAAATGGTTAGCAGGCAAGGAGAAAGACAAATAATCAACAAGTCTTCCAGCTACTACGTAATATTTTCCTCACTAACAAACTCACAGATGACTTATCAAAACTTCTTTAAAAAAAGTGAAAAGCACTGTACTACCATGTTCATAGCAGCACTGTTCACAATAGTCAAAAAGTGGAAGCAACCCAAATGTCCATCAATAGATGAATGAATAAACCGTGGTATATACATACAACAGAATATTATTCAGCCTTAAAAGGGAAAGAAATTGCCTGGCCAGTGCTGCTTAGTGGTTGAGAGTCGACCTATGAACCAAGAGGTCATGGTTCAATTCCTGGTCAGGATACATGCCCGGTTGCAGGCTCGATCCCCAACAGGGGGCATGCAGGAGGCAGCCAATCAATGATTCTCTCTCATCACTGATGTTTCTCCATCTTCCCTCCTCTCTGAAATCAATAAAAATCTATCATAATAAAAGCGTAATAAGCAAATCGAACAAACGGTCGAAGAGCAGAACAACCATCTGGATGACCTTCCGGACGAAGCCGGGGCTGCCATGGCGGCAAAGGCATACTCTTGCACAAATTTCGTGCATCGGACCTCTCGTGTGTGTGTGTGTATTTTTTTTTTTTTTTTAAGGAAATTGACAAATGCTACAGCATGGATAAGCTTTGAAGATATTTAAGTCAATGAAATATAAAATAAACCACTTATAAAAAGAAAAAACTGTATGACCCCACTTATATGAAATATATAAAGTATTCAAACTCATAGAAATAGAAGTAGAATGGTGGCTGCCAAGGGCTGAGGAGAGAGAAAAGTGAAGAGTTGTTGTTTAACAGGATTAGTTCCAGCTTTGCAAAATGAAAAAGTTCTGAAGATGTTTCACAACAATTTAAATATACTTAATGCTACTAGACTGGACACTTAATAAAGATGGTATATTTTATGTTATGGGTACTTTACCTCAATTTACTTTTTAAAAAAGCAAAATCTGGCCCGACTGGCATGGCTCTGTGGTTGAGTGTCAACCTATGAACCAGGAGGTCACAGTTCGATTCCAGGTCAGGGCACATGTCCAGGTTGTGGGCTTGATCCCGTGTGGGGCGTGCAGGAGGCAGCCGATAGATGATTGTCTCTCATCATTGATGTTTCTATCTCTCTCCCTCTCTAAAATCAATAAAAATACATTTTTTTTAAAAAAGCAAAATGTTGCCAAAACCGGTTTGGCTCAGTGGATAGAGCGTCGGCCTGCGGACTGAAAGGTCCCGGGTTCGATTCCGGTCAAGGGCATGTACCTTGGTTGCGGGCATATCCCCAGTAGGAGATGTGCAGGAGGCAGCTGATGGATGTTTCTCTCTCATCGATGTTTCTGACTATCTATCTCTCTCCCTTCCTCTCTGTAAAAAATCAATAAAATATATATTTAAAAAAGCAAAATGTGCTGAAACCGGTTTGACTCAGTGGATAGAGCGTCGGCCTGCGGACTGAAAGGTCCCAGGTTCGATTCAGGTCAAGGGCATGTACCTTGGTTGCGGGCACATTCCCAGTGGGGAGTGTGCAGGAGGCAGCTGATCGATGTTTCTCTCTCATCAATGTTTCTGGCTCTCTATCCCCTCTCCCTTCCTCGCTGTAAAAAACCAATTAAAAAAAAAAATAATGGATAACAATAAATGACTGAGCGCTTAAAATAATTTTAACCCTGGAGTCTTAGATTGAGCAAAAAATATGTTCTGAACATAGCAATATATTTTATAGTGCCCAGAAATTATACACATCTTTCAGGAAGACAATGCACATGATGAAGAAAGCTAAGTTATGATCACTATGATTTTTCTAAGGAATGTTTTTGGATAATATAGTTAAAACAAGTGGCACTCAATCAAAAAGGTTCTAGGTAAAGGGAAAAAAAGAACTAAAAGGTGTAAAGCTGCAGGTACCTTTACCTTCCTGAGCTTTGAAAGAGCCATGTTCTTTGTAGTCACCCTTCCTCAAATGTGGGTTAGACCTAGTGAATTGCATCTAAAAAAACAGACTATAGCAAAGGAAACAGGATGTCACTTCCGTGATCAGGTTACAGAAGATTGTCACTTCCATCTTGGTAGTACTCTCTTCCTTGCTCACTTTAATGGACCCCAACAGTCATGTAGTGAGCTGCCCCATAGAAAGGCTCACATGGAAGAAAAGTAGCCTGCCAACAGCCAGCAAAGAACTGAAATCCTGTCCACAAGCGCTCAAGGAACTGAATCTTGCTATCAAACCTGAGTGAGCTTGCAAGCAGCTCCTGCCCCAGTGAAGCCTTTAAGTGGCACTGTGGCCCCAGCTGACACCTTCACTGTAGCCCTGTGAAAGACCCTGAAGGAAAGAACCCAGCTCAGCCATGCCCTTATTCCTCACACAGCAACACTGAGATAACAAATGTGTGTTGTTTTAAGCTGCTAAACTTTGGGATAATTTGCTATGTAGCAACAGATAACATATAATAGTAGCATCTCTTTCATTCTCAGGTGCATCAAATTCTATCGCGAAATAGATTTTGTTTACACAGGAAAGCAATGATTGACCAATCCTCATGGGACTGTAACACTCTATCACTTAAATAATAAATATTAGATTCCGTGACATCACCATCTCACATTGAAGTACTTTCTGACACTTAGAGTTTACAATAATCTGATTTAATTGTTTTAAAAATCTCTTGGACATTCTTGCCGAACCGGTTTGGCTCAGTGGATAGAGCGTCGGCCTGCGGATTCAAGGGTCCCGGGTTCGATTCCGGTCAAGGGCATGTACCTTGGTTGCAGGCACATCCCCACTGTGGGGTGTGCAGGAGGCAGCTGATCGATCTCTCTCATCGATGTTTCTGACTTTCTATCCCTCTCCCTTCCTCTCTGTAAAAAAAAATAAATAAAAAAATAAAAAAAAAAATCAAATCAATAAAATATATTAAAAAAAAAAAATCTCTTGGACATTCTCATGGAAATTTGTACTTCTGATCCACCTATGATGGAACAGGTGGCACGGGTCTACCCTTCAGTTATAAATATAAAAACAGGAGTTAACAGACACTGAACGTAAACATAACAGATTACATTTTCAAAAGGAAAACGCACAAGTTATGAGACCTACATTCATCCTAGCTTTCTTTCTGAGGGCATTTTCCAAAATAGAGTGCAGGAAAATAAAAGCCAAGCAGTATCTCACTGAGCAGAAGTGATGAAGACTGGAACCAAAAGATTAGAATTTGAAGAGACTCCATGATTGGACGGAACTGCAGTATAGACACTTTAAAAATATACATTAAAAAAATCTTCCAGGTCCTTGGCTGACATCCTAAGTTGCATGAGAACAGAGCACAATCCAGGAGTCCAAGCAGAAGCTCTGAGCAGAGATTTCAGAAGCCACATAGTGCTAGGAAGACAGGTTACAGTTTGGACCTAGACAGAGTAACTTTGGTGAAAACCTGGCACTTCACCTGAGACCTCAGGAAGACCAACCCTGAGAGGAAGAACCACACTCTAAGCATTATGGATAAAACTAAAATAGACCCACCCTAATAAAACCTAAAATTAAACCTAGACTAGATCAAGGTGATCTATCAGTATTCTAGCTACCAGCCAGCACAAAACTTTACACTCTTTAGAGGAAGATGACCAATTCAGAGTCTCTACAACATACCCTCCACAATATGTGACATACAATAAAGTTACTAGGCATGCAAAGCAGGTAAAAGTAACTAACAGAGAAAAGGATGAGAAACAGTTTCAGAGATTATCCATATATTGGAATTAACACGCAAGAAACTAAAAGTAACTATGCTTAAAAAAAAACAACAGAGAAAGAGGACACAATAGATGAAAAGAAAACTAAAGTCATGGGGTGAGAGTTCTGTAAGAATAGGAATTTGGTCCTATTCATTGCTGAATCCTTGAAGTCTAGAACAGTACCTGATACATAGTAATTATGCATAATATTTGTTGGTTAATTAGATGGAAGAATGGAAGAAGTTTTGTTGAGGGTTGGTAACAAAATCAAAGATTGGTAAATGCCAACAGAACGTTACTGTACTTCAGAAAAAAAGTGAGAATAAAACTCTGCATCAAAATCTAAAATAAAACTATATATACACAAACATATATATACACACACAGACACTCACAGAGGGAGGGAAGGGAAGAAAGAGTAAGGGAGAAGTGGAAAGAGAGTCAATCATTGGTGCACTTAACTTCATTCACTATTTAATCCATCCAATCTCTAGGACATTTTAACCAGAATTTTCCTACTCCCTCGAGTAAAAGTGAAGGCACAATACTACAAAATGTTCTAAAACTTTTATAAAAAGTAAAACAGCTTCAGATTTAGTAATGTCTTAGTCTGTTTACCCTGTACAAATTTCTCCCTTGGTGAATCCTCTTCAGAAACAACCAGTATGTTCCACACACCACACTCCTCTCCGTGAACTGCTCTTCTTCCAAGATAACAGATTAACATTCCTGTGGGAGTTGCCAAATTCTTCTTTACCTTGTCCTCTGAACACCTAAAAAGATTCTGTTCCATCAGATTTTCAAATTTAGGACTAGAGAGTATGTCAGGAAAGTTTTAAGTGGTTTTAACTAATGTAATATTCAGGAGTTAGCCAGGTAGAAAATGTTCATCTACAGAGAGGAAGAATCTGATTATCTTTGAGTCCCGAGTCCCTGGTCCCGTACGTCCTTAGACCCGCCTACACTGTAGCCCTACCTTCCTGCACCTTTCTTTTGATTCCAATAAATTATCCCAAATTAACTTCAGCAAATTTGAAGTGGGTTTCTATCACCTGCAACTGACAAAAATTCTAACTACAACTAAGTGACAGCCCTCACCAAAAAGTACATTCTACTTCTATATGCTAACTGCTTTAAAAATACAGGTTCTAGCCGAGACCGGTTTGGCTCAGTGGATAAGAGCGTCGGCCTGCGGACTGAAGGGTCCCGGGTTCGATTCCTGTCAAGGGCATGTACCTTGGTTGCGGGCACATCCCCAGTGGGGAGTGTGCAGGAGGCGGCTGATCGATGTTTCTCTCTCATCGATGTTTCTGACTCTCTATCTCTCTCCCTTCCTCTCTGTAAAAAATCAATAAAATACATTAAAAAAAAAATACAGATTCTATATTGTCTTCTTTCCCAAAGGAAACAGTATTTACCTTATTTTATTTTTCATATATTTTTGTGTCCCTAGGGAAAAGCTGCATGTAAAATTGAAAAGAAAAAGAACACCAAAAAAGGTGGCAAAGGAAAATCTAATGTACTCCTGAACCTTGGGGTAGGTAGGGTCTTCAGTGAAGGAGAAATCTCATTCACTCCCCCTTTCTCAATTCAGAGTCTCATACTGGCAAGCAGTAGCTCCTAAAAGTTAGGTACTGAATTGGATGCCTAAGTAAAGTAATACAATTATACTTAAGATAACTCCTCATGTGTTAGAAAAGTCCAAGAACACCTGTTTTTGATTTTAAGTCTAAGGATCAATTTTTCCCAAACACAGCTCTGCTGCATCTTTTTTTCTTCCTTATGTTTCCAGTTTAGCTTGCTTTTTTCCATAACCACCACCATCTGCTGTGAAGACAAATTACAGGATACAGCCCGCTAGCGAGTTGTGAAATCAATTTAGTGCGTTAACAGCATTTTCTTAAATCCAATAGTAAATATTAGAGTATATCAAATATAGCACCATGCACACACGTGTATGTGTATATGTACATATATGGCATCATATAGTTTCAATTTTTTGTTATGTTTTGGGTGAGATTTATGAGGATCCCTGCGTTTTACACAATTCCAGGAGATACATTCATAAGGCAGCAACTCTGCAGTAATATGCACATATGTGTGTACTAGTCATTATGAAAATTCTCTTTTTGTGAATCACAGTCAAAACAAATGGGCAAACACTGCTCTAATAGAAAGATCAGTATTTTATTTAGAAACTTGCTTTCAAATCCCACTGTTATTCCTTACTCTACACTTATTCTTAAACAGTAGAGTGGGTTGGGGCTGGGCTAGAAAGGGTCAATGGAGGGGGGGGGGGGATATGCAATACTTTCAAGAATAAAGATTTAATTAAAAATAAACAGCAGTGTGTATTTTAAGACTAAAAATTTTTTAACTTATTGATTTATTTTTAGAGGGGGAGGAGAGGGAGAGAGGGAGAGAGGAAGTGAGGGAGGGGGAAGGGAGAGAGGGAGAGGGAGAGAAACATTTATTTGTTCTATTTATTTATGCATTCATCAGCTGATTTTTTTTAATATATATTTTTATTGATTTCAGAGAGGAAGGGATAGGAAGAGAGAGAGAGAAACAATAATGAGAGAGAATCATTGATTGGCTGCCTCCTACACACCCCACACTGGGGATCAAGCCTGCAACTGGGCATGTGCCTTAACTGGGAATCGAACCATGACCTCGTGGTTCAACCACTGAGCCATGTGGACTGGGCTGATTTTTTTTTTATTGGTTGATTCTTGTATGTGCCCTGACTGGGAATTGAACCCAAAACCTTTGATGTATTAAGACAATGCTTTAACCAACTGAGCTACTTGGCCAGGGCCCTTACTCTGCATTTCAATGTCTTCATCCATAAAATGGGGAATATCTCACATAGTACTAAAAAACAAAATAAATAACAAAGTGTCTGATACCAACCCCAGCCCTTAGTAATTGTAGGGTAAGTCCTAGTTCTCTATCCTAGTCCTAGTCCTTTCCCCAGAGTGCTTCCATTAGCCCAACCTAGCTTGTAACACAGGATGAATTTTCCTTGAAATTTCCAGCGCAACAAGGAAAACTTTTTACTGCCACCCTCACCAGTGTTGCTCAATGGTTGGAGCATTGGCCCTCGCACCGAAGGGTCGATTCCTGGTCAAGGGCAGGTACATGGGTTGCATGTTCAATCCCCAGCCCCGGAAGAAACAACGGATTGATGTGTCTCTCTCACATCGATGTTTGCTTCTCTCTCTCCCTGCCCCCCACTCTCTCTAAAAAAAAAAAATGGAGAAAGAGGTGAGGATTAACAACAGCAAAAAATTTATTGCCAATATAATTAACATGGAATAATTACAAAGATTCTAGGTATGTACAAGGTCATTCTTTGGACCTTACCTGATTCCTTTTCTTAGATGAGAAAAACTGACCACTCTAGAGGGAAGCTAAATTACTCAACAAGCACATTCTCAGCACTCTTAAGGGCCAAACACACAGAATACAATTGTGTATTACATTTTGTATTATAATTGTGTATTATACCTTTGAGTGTGCAGAGTAGGTAAGCAAAGCATGAGCAATAGTCATGTATAAATTAAGGTCTGACATCACTTCCTACATAGGCAGCAAACAAACCAAAGAACTAGAAATTATCTCACAAGTTCTGACATTTGCTACCAGCTCTCACAATACCAAAACTAAATGTATCAAAGGAAATGCCTAAATATACACTAATCTTTGTTATAATTTTTCCCATATTAAAAACTGACAGAAAAAGCTGGTAAAACAAAACTTATTTAGAGTGCAAAGGACTACCTATTTTTCCCTCGATGGAAATACGATTTATCTTACTGTTCTCCTGACCAATATCAAAAACCAGAGAACTAGAACACAATATCTGTACTACATATTACTATTTCAGCCCTGGTCCAGTAGCTCAGTTGGTTAGAACATCAACCTGATATACCAAGGTTGTGGGTTTGATCCTTGGTCAGGGCACATACAAGAATCAACCAAAGAATGCATAAATAAGTTGAATAACAAATCTCTCTCTCTCTCTCTCCCCTCCTCCCTTATATTTCTAAAAATCAATTAAAATTTAAAGATATAATACAGTATATCATGACTATTTCAGACTGGTCTCTTCCATATCCTAAAAACTCACTGTGATAAAATAAGCCTACTAGCCCTTATTGCAAACCTAACAAACGAATCAATACTAGAGGCAGAGGCACTAAATAAATGTTGACTGCCCTGACCGGTTTGGCTCAGTGGATGGAGCGTTGGTCTGCAGGCTGAAGGGTCCCAGGTTAGATTCCGGTCAAGGGCGTGTACCTTGGTTGTGGGCACATCCCCAGTAGGTGGTGTGCAGGAGGCAGCTGATTGATGTTTCTCTCTCATCGATGTTTCTAACTCTCCATCCCTCTCCCTTCCTCTCTGTGAAAAATCAATAAAATAAATTTTTAAAAAAATAAATGTTGACTGAATATACAGTTCAATACAGATAAGGGCCATAGTGAAATGAAAATGATGAGTACATTAATGTGATATCAAAAAATTGTGATCATAATGTATTTGAGTCACTGGTCTAAGTAATTACTTAATTTCTCTCAGCCTAGGCTTATTTATCTGTAAAACGGGGAAGCAGTTCTTCCTAAATTCCAAGGATGCTCTGAGGACACATGATGATAAACCTATGTACTGTAATAGTCTTTATACAGTGAATTTGGACTACCCTATATCATTAGAAAAAGCTTGTATATACTACTGAGATTTTCAAAGGCACTCATTAATCAAAGCATTGAGAACTATTTCTCATGTTGAATAAACTGAATACAAAGTTGGATATCTACTCCCATAAAAGAATGTGATAGTCTTCAAAAACAAAACAAGCCGAAACCGGTTTGGCTCAGTGGACAGAGCGTCGGCCTGCGGACTGAGAGGTCCCGGGTTCGATTCCGGTCAGGGGCAAGTACCTGGGTTGCGGGCATATCCCCAGTGGGAGATGAGCAAGAGGCAGCTGATCGATGTTTCTCTCTCATCGATGTTTCTAACTCTCTATCCCTCTCCCTTCCTCTCTGTAAAAAACCAATAAAAAAATATATTAAAAAAACAAAACAAAACAAAACAAAAAAACACAGTCATGTAAAACTGAGTAACAACAAATTCAGAGGCCTGTCACTGATACTTAACAGCACAGTTTAAACCAGCGGTTCTCAACCTGTGGGTCGCGACCCCTTTGGCGGTCGAATGACCCTTTCACAGGGGTCGCCTAAGAACATCCTGCATATCAGATATTTACATTACAATTCGTAACAGTAGCAACATGACAGTTATGAAGTAGCAACGAAAATAATTTTATGGTTGGATCACAACACGAGGAACTGTATTTAAAGGGCCAGAAGATTGAGAACCACTGGTTTAAACGATTCAAGTAAATGTTAAGCTCTTTTCCCTTGTTATCTTCTGAAAAACAAGCTAAGCTAGAACCCAGAACTTTCAAATCTCAAATGGTGTAAGAATTCAAGATGCCAAATTTCTAATACTTGCCTACAAAGTTACCAAATTGTGCTAGCCTGCTCAACAAGACTGGATTCAAAAATTCTCTATAAAGAGATAATACTATTACCACCACTGAACTAAATTTTCCTAAACTGGCGATTCTCCTGCTCCATCTACAACTCTCACCCAACTCCAGTCTTCTGGTAAGCTACCACAGACCAGTGGGAGTTTGGCAGCGGTTCTGCTGCAGCCTGCAGCCAAATAAAGTAAAGCTAACTGGCACTGAACCAATGGTCATTTTGCAAGGACACGAACTTTGGAGCACTTTATAAACTGCTGGTGATTTCTAATAATATTCCTGTTAAGTTTAAACGTTGAACCATCCATTATATTTCACTGCAAACTATATGTCACCTTAAAAACAAGAAAAGGGCAAGACATTTTCCTGGTTTGTTTTTGCTTTTTTTTTTTTTTAAACTCACAAATCTAGTCAAATTCTTTTTATGTGTAAACAACTCTTGGCAATGGGGGAAGGGATCGACTTAATAAAACTGGGAGGCGCCTCTCAGAGGAGCTAGCCTGGCACCAGTCATTTGGGAACCACCGCTCTTAGCTCCAGCCCTAGAATTTTAAACTTTTCCAAGCTCACCAAGCCCAAATCTTTATTTTACAAGGGAGATTTAAATTAAGGGTCTATGCTCTGGTTATTATAATAGCTAACTCTTACACAGTACTATGTACCACACGCTGTTTGCCCTAAGCCCTGTACGCCTAGTTCCTTTAACCCTCGCTTTCGGGTGACAATGCCAGAGTTCACATTCAAGCAGTCTAGCCCCAGGATACACACTCTCTGAAACCACCAGGCTCTGCTGCTTCTCCATGGAGTGGGTCAGATCCAGCCCAGGGCCCTTCCACGACCCCAGGGTGCAGAGTCCCAACTAAGTCTCCCTGTGTCCACCGCTGCAACTGCATCTCCAACTTGTGACTCTTACAAGTGCCTCCTGCGTCCCTACAGCAGCGGTTCTCAACCTGTGGGTCGCGACCCCTTTGGCGGCCAAAACGACCCTTTCGCAGGGGTCGCCTAAGGCCATCCTTGCATATCAGGTATTTACATTGCGATTCATAGCCATAGCAACATGACAGTTATGAAGTAGCAACGAAAATAATTTTACGGTTGGGGGTCACCACACGAGGAACTGTATAGAAAGGGCCAGAAGGTTGAGAACCACCGCTCTACAGCCTCAAGTATCCAAAACAGGTGCTCTCTCTGGGAAACCAGCGGATGCAGCGGCCAGGCAGGAAAGAACAGCTTTCTCGCGGTTGCTTATTAAACCTCGACACCTGAAAAGCCTAAAAACATAATAAGTACTTTTTTCTGAGAAAGGCAAACATTTACCGAATTTTCGTGATGCCTCAAGTGATGAACCAGAGCTAACACGGACAACCCTGTGTTTTGTTTTTGTTTTTCCTCCAGCTGTCTCCAACTTACTCGAGAGGGGAGACTTTCCGTGTATGCATCTGAATACAGATGAGAAACGGAATGAGGGGGGGCATGAGGGGAAAGGAGGGGTACGACTCCATCTCTCCGAAGTGGAGAGGCGCAGACTCCAGACCCTGGGGATGAGAAGCCGGACCCAGCATCACACACCACCGCTGCCCTGGCCGCTGTCAGTGCCGCTCCGGGCGGCGGGGAGGTGTTTACGTGGCGCTCGGAGGCATTTCCTCCGGCCTCGAGAGGTGGCGGCCCCGGCGGGTGGGCGCCCCCCGCGCAGGCCCTGCGGCAGGGGGCGCACGGAGGCGGCGGGAAACGGACTCGAGAGTTTGCCGGGGATCCCGGAGGGGATCACGGTCCGGGACGGCTTGCCCGGAGCCGCCGTGGGCCACGCCCGCTGGCGCCCCCCAGCCTCCAGTACCACCCCCGCCGAACCCGCGCCCCGTGCATGGAGGGTCGGCGCACCCAGCGGACCAGACCCGACTCCTGAGGCAAAGGAGCCGAGGGCGGACGCGACCCTCTGGGAGCCACTCACCAGGTTGAGGGGTCCTTCCATTACTTCCATAGACCCCGGAGTGAGAGGCGGCCTGAGGGAGGGGAGCGACGACGCCGAAGCACATGGAGGAGCGCAGCGGAGGAGCTTGAGGCAGCGACCCGGACCGCGGCTCCTCTCCGCGCCCCGGGAGCCAGCCGAGGGAGCAGAGGGAGCAACCACCGCGCCACTTCCTCCTCCGGCGCCGCGGGCCCGCCCCCTGCGCCGGGGCCACGCACGCGTCATGACATCACATGCGGTGGTTCAAGGTGGGAGTGAGGACGGGTTGTGGGCGGGGCTCAGGGAAGGCGGGTCACGGGCTGACGTGCGCTTTCTCGCGGCCTATCTTTCCTCTCGCGAGATGCTTATCTTCAGCTTTTGTTGTCTCTTCTGCCAGCACGTGAGGTTGTTGGGAGTTTAGTGGCTGTTGGCTTCTTCCACTTTCCCTCCAGCCTGACTTTTCCTAAGTTCACTCTGCTTGGACTTATTTTTACTTTTTGTTTGTTTTTATTACTTTTTGTTTTTTGGGGTTTTTTTGTCTATCTTGCTTGGGCTTATTTTTAAATCAGATTTGAGCAATGCTAAACCATCTGCTGGACTAGATCGCCCCCTTTCCCGGAGACAAACATGAATGTTTCAGTGCTCTGACCTCAAGTTGCTGACGAACTAATAAAAGAAAATAATATGGGTCACAAATAGCCAAATATAATACTTGACTCATTTAACAATTATGTGCCAAACCACTGTGCTGGGTTCTTTCTGTCAAGGAATTCACTGACAATAAAAAATAATTGTGATTTATGCTGTGAAGGGAACCGGGAGATGTGATAGAGGTGCCATGAGTTACATAGCTTCAAGGATAATGTATTTGAGTCACGTGAGACCCTCAACCCTGGCCTATGCCTTGATTGCAGCCTTTTGAGAGCCTGAGCAGAAAACCCATCAAAATCCAGACTCTTGACCCATGTCACTTGTGAGATAATAAACATGTATTAAGTCACTACATTTGTGTGTTTTTTTAAATATATTTTATTGATTTTTTTACAGAGAGGAAGAGAGAGAGATAGAGAGTTAGAAACTTCGATGAGAGAGAAACATCCGTCAGCTGCCTCCTGCACATCTCCCACTGGGGATGTGCCCGCAACCCAGGTACATGCCCTTGACCGGAATCGAACCCGGGACCTTTCAATCTGCAAGCCGACGCTCTATCCACTGTGCCAAACCGGTTTCGGCTTAAGTCACTACATTTGTGATTCTGTGGTATGTGGCAAAGAAAACGATTGCAGACCCTTTCAGGGGTAAAATCCAGAGGCAGAATTTTCTTTCTTTTTTTTTTCTTTTTTTACCTTAAATTTATAAAAATATTTATTCACTCTTAAGTAGACCATAGCCAGGAAAGGTGTTAAATATTTTATTTTATTTTATTTTATTATTTTAATTTTTTATTGCTTAAAGTATTACAAAGGGTATTACATATGTGTCCTTTCCCCCCCCATCCCCCCCCCCACCCCCCGCCCTTGACAGTCCCCTGGCCTCCCCTACCCCCCAGTGTCTTATGTCCATTGGTTATGCTTATATGCATGCATACAAGTCCTTCGGTTGATCTCTTACCCCCCTCCCTCTTGCCCCCCAACCCTCCCCAGCCTTCCCGCTGCAGTTTGACAATCTGTTTGAGGCAGCTCTGCCTCTGTATCTATTACTGTTCAAAAGAATTTTCTTGATAAACTATAACCAGGAGTAGTGAATTCATGTCACCGCCCTAATCAATCCATGGTAGCTGTTTAATACCTCTAAGGGGAACTTCAGTGACAACTAGACAAAAAGGAGAGTATGATATATTTGTTAACGTAAAAACATTCAAACCTGTAAAGAATTTTTGTGAATTTATTTGAACCAAACTGTCAACAATTGCCAGGAAGCAGAATCTCAACGGATTGGGATGCTTCAGAGAATGGCGGTTTTTCATCTATTTTTATACATTGCAATCAAAGGAAGAGACGTAGGTGGTTACATGAAATCCATTGGTGATAGATTAGAGAAGCAGGAGAAAGCAAAGGGGGGGACCTCTGGGACTGGATGAAGAGTGAAATGATAGACACATACTTCTTTAACTTAGGTGTGTATAGGATAGTTAACAGTCAACAATTAACATGATAACAATAACAATGAAAGAATATGTGGTATCTGTCCTGGCGCCCAGGGCATTTGTTTGTGCCCTGAGGGGTCTGAAAAAAAGGGAAGTTACAAGTTACCCTGACATTTCAAGGATATGTTATCATAGATGCAAAAAGACAATAAGCTCAGTTAAGGTAACAGTTGACCTTGTCAGAGAAGATACAGACCATAACTGCTTTTAGTTAAAGTTTAATTTCAGACCATCCTTTGTGGTTACTGTAGGTCTTTGAGTTTGCAAGACTGCCATGCAGGCCTTCCCTGAGCCTGTCAGGTTAGCATGTGGCCCCTTTTGTCCACATATTCAAGCACACAGCAATATTTGAGAGCAATTTCATCCAAATCAGCAAAAGAGAAGGCATGATGGGTGTACACAACCATGTCCAATCTACACAAACATTACATCTGCCAAAGCTCTTCTCTGCCACTTGCTGTCATGCTGTTGGTCTGACCAGCCCCAGGCTATGAAGAGCGTGCATGCTGTACATGGATAGGTCATCCAAGGAAGAGGTTACAAGCACACAAAGATTTTAGGCCTATTCTGGCTACTTCCCTTGAAGTTGGGAAACAGCAGGAAGACCCAAAGCTTGCTACTGGCTATTTTTCTACTTGCATGTTTGTATCTTTTCAGACACATGGAAGACTTCTTTACCTAATGAATAAGCCCATTTATCTCCTGAGACCATCAGTGGAGGGTTACATATATCACCAGGCCACCCAACTGGGGACACAGTGGACATACCTATTACTGAATCAGAGATGAGAAAAGTCCAGTTAAGTCTCCACTGTGACTCAGCAAGATAGAACCAGAGAGCTTTAAGAGAACATCTAAAAGCTGGTCCTGGTATTCTCTGAGGCTCACCTGGAAAATGCATTCCATGTGAAAGAATCCAAACCTAAATGGGCCACCACTAAGGGACTTGCCACATTGGAGAAGTTCCTAGTATGCTACGAGGTTCAATTCATACATTCCCTAGATAATAGCATATTATCTCATATCCACCTATACATCATGATAGTCCAATCTTTTCTTGAACACTTACTATTCCAATCAAGTTAGAATGATCTGTTATAATCTATTTTTAATAATTAGGAAGTTCTTGCTTTGTTTAAACTGTAATCTGTCTTCCCAAGACTGCCATGCCCTGAGTTTGTATAAATTACTATAACATGAGTGGGTGAACACATATACAATGTTTCCTACTATCAAAATGTAAAATGTGACCCTAGCTAGTTTGGCTCAGTGGATAGAGCATTGGCCCATGATCCCAGGTTTGATTCCGGTCAAGGCACATACCTCCATTGCAGGCTTGATCCCCATGTGCCCTGGTCAGGGCACATGCCAAGGCAACCAATCGATGTGTCTCTTTCAGATCGATGTTTCTCTCTCTCTGTCTCTCCCCCTCCCTTCCACTCAAACAAAAAATCAATAGAAAAAATATCCTCAGGTGAGGATTAACAACAACAACTAAAAAGTAAAATGTGCATACCCTTGACTCAGCAACCCTTATAGAAATACTAGCACAGGTATAGAAAATAAAGGTATGGGAGGATGTTCACTGGGGACATTAAAACAATGCTCTCCTTAGTTCTGGAACTAGAGAGATCATTTGACAGAAGTTCTGTACAGGGAATTTCTGCATCATGTGGGAGCTTGCATTGATGACCTCAAAAGTTTGTCTAGTTATGAATCTTTGGTGTCCTCAGCTACAAGAAGAGAAGGGAGCAGACCCTCTGATCTCCCTTTCTGTCCTCTCTATCTCTATGGTTTCTCTTGCCCTCAGCTCAGGAGCTCCAGGGAGAATGGAATCAGGGGCAGGTCAGCATCAGAAATCTTCCCATGGTCCCTGAGGTGTCTGGGACCCCCTCCTCTGATTATGCTGTGGGAGGGGGAGTCCGATCTGCCTCCCACACCTGCTGTGTTTATAGACTTCCCAGTGAATCCATCCCAAGCACATTTTCTTCTATAGTCAGGAAACATACAGGACCTGTCAAAGTTGAAATAAGGAAAAGCAGCAGGGTTGGTAGCAGCAGGGGCAGCAACAGCAATATTAGGGCATCAGCCAAGTCTGCAGGCCAAAGACAGATCAACACAGCAATGTCAGGAGCAGCCAGCAAGGGCCCAAGTGGGAGAGGAGCCAGCATGATCATGGCAGAAACACCAACATGTCCTCAGTGGGTGTTCAAGTGGTTGTGGCCGGTGCTTCATGCATGTCCTTGGAGGGTACTTCCAGATGTGATGGGGAGGTATGCGTGAGGGATCACAGCAGTATGGGGCATTGTCTGTATCTAAGCAGGGTAGTGGGTAAAGTGCTTACTGTGGTAATTTTCCCATCTCTGAGATCAGGTGATCTTACAATTGCTGTCAGCCAGGTGGAAGTTGTATTGCCTAGGAAACCTTTTTTGTTTATTTATTTTATTTATTAATTTTAGGGAGAGAGAGCTGTAAGCAAAAAGGAGCCAGATGCTAAACTGACTAGCTCAGGGAAGGCCTGCATAGTGGCCTTGCAAACTCAGAAATCTAAAGTAACCACAAAGGTGGTCTGAAATGAAAACTTTTTTTTAAGGCCACCAAAAATTTTGGTGGCCTCAAAAAAAAAATTGGAAAAGAGAGAGATGAAATTAAAACTTTTAAAATTACAAAGCAGTTTATGGTGGGTAGTCATGTCCTAGCCTAGTATCTTTCCTGACAAGGTCAATCTTTACCTTAACTGAGCCTATTGTCTTTTTGCATCTACAATAACTTATCGTTGGCATGTCAAAGTAATTTTTCTTTTTTCGGACCTCTCAAAGCACAGACATAGCTCTGCAGAGACCACAAGCCCCTCATTGTTATTGAGTTAATTGTTGACTGTTAACTATCCTGCACCCACCTAAGTAAATAAGTATGTGTCTATCATTTTACTTTTTATCCCATCCCAGAGTTTTCCCCTGCTTTGTTTTCTCCCGCCTCCCTAATCTGTCACCA